GCGCTCCCGCCGCGGAGCGGGCTGCAGACCTGGACGGGCGCACAGGACCGGCGCCCAGGCCGAGTTCATGGTGTGGGGTGGGTGCCAGGTTTTGCTCAGCCTTGGGTGGAGTCACCAGAGACTCCCCCCAGGTCTTCCAGTTTCGGACTCTGGAGGGGGTGGCCTTGGAGCCCGGATCCAGCCAGATCTGCTGGGTCAAGGGAAGAGGGCTCTCGCCGTCGGATCCCAGTCCTTACACGTCGCACCCAAGACTCTGATAAAAGGAGAAGGGGGAACCTCGACTGGACGGGACTGGCTGACCAGCCCTGCTACAGTTCCAGCTTTGGGTGGTTCTCTCCTCCCTTGCTGAAGCTGGTGTGCAGAGCCAGTCTCCCTCCCACGGCAGCGGGTGATGGATTCTCTGGCCCCAGGGGCAAGACTGGCTTTGGCCGTGGTTCTTCAACAGGATGCCCATTTGGGGTAGATGGGGAATAGTGAGGGACAGAACAGGTTATGGGGTACATTCTTTAATACAAGGCACTGCCTTGGTGGGAAGAACTTTGACATCCAGGCCTTCCCCACCTTCTTTGTGTGTGCTTGGGAAAATGACTTGATTGGTCTGAGAACCAGTTGACTCGTCTGTAAAAGGATAATATTACTACCAAATATGTGAGGGAGCAGTCTGAGGACTAAATGAATGTGACGTTCCTAGCACAATGCTTGTTACGTGGTCCTTTTCATAAAATGGTTGAAATAGATATTTGCATAGTATGCCACAATCAATGTAGGCACAAGCCAAAGCATACATCTTGCCAATGTCCAGATTCTCACTCAGGACAGTAGTACTTCCTGCCCTTCAGACTGGCAAGATCTCCCAGTATCCTTTCAATAATGCCCCCTTGTATGAAGTTAGCACGAGTGGTGTTTCTTCTTTGAAATCCAAAGAGTCTCTGGTATGATAGGCATTTCTCTGAAAGTGATGCCTCCAAATTAGGCTGCAATTGACTTATGCTTTTATTGTCAATTTAGAAGAGATGATGGAGGTGGGCATAGGGAATTTTTACATTAATTTTTATTGAAGTATCATATAGAGAAATGAGCACAAATCATGAGTATACATTTGAATGAATTTTCACAAAATGAACATGTCCATTCAACCAGCACCCACATCAGGAAGGAGACATTTTAGCAAACCCCTCACCCCCATACCTGTATGTCACTCCTCTCTCCATCCCCCAACAGATACCATTATCTTGACTTCTAGCAGCATGGATTACTTCTGCCTGTTATTTGACTTTATGTAAATGAAAAAAGAGTGGAACTTTCCATTCTCCTTTCCTGGTACCTCACACTTGTACCTGACACATAACTCTCTGACACATAACTCCCTCTGAAATTCATCAATTTGTTGGATTCTCTCTTTTTTTAAAAAAAAAATGGAGTTATTTTTTTATTGTAGCAAAATATACATAACATAAAAATTTACCATTTTAACGATTTTAAGTGTACAGTTTAGTGGCATTAAGTACATTCGCATTGTTGTGCAACCATCATCACTATCTATGGCGGTATGTTCTCTCTTCCCGCGACCAGCGCCAAAAGGGAGAATGAGGGGGTTCAAGAAATCTTGAGCAGAACCAGATGAGGGTTAAGGAAGAATGAAAACGAGACTGAGACAGAAATAGAGGGAGAAGCTGGGCCTGGGTGTGGCGTCTGCCTCTGATAGATGAACAGAGCCCCTGACACCGGAAGTAAGTTTAATATATACTCAAAGTAATAGGAAGTTACATCACATCTGGGTGGGCCTTGAGTTCCTGGCGACATAATGTGATCCACCCCCTAGCACCTGGGCTGGAAAAGTCAGACTGAGTGGCGTCCTTGCCTCCAGGGCGTGGTTTTGCCTGCACCCTGGATTCAGCCAACATATTTAAAAACGCCCGAGGTGCTTGCCAGTGGCCCCCCACAACTATCCATCTCTAGAACTTTTTCATCTTCCCAAATTGAGACTCTGTCCCAATTAAGCAATAACTCTCTATTCCCCACTTGCCCAGCCCTGGCAACCACTGTTCTACTTGCTGTCTCTATGAATTTGACTATTTGAGGTACCTCATATAAGTGGAATTGTAGAACATTTGTTCTTTTGCATTAGATTAATTTCACTTGGTGTAATGTCTTCAAACATATATCAGAATTTCATTGCTTTTTAAGGCTGAATGACATTCCATTGTGAATGTATGTGTATATATATACACATCACATTTTGTTTATCCATTTCTCTGTTGATGGACACTTGGGTTCCTTCCACCTTTTGATTATTGGGGAAAATGATGCTATGAACTTGTAAAATGAGGATAATAACATTTAATTCCCAGGTATTATAAGGATTAGATACCATGTTAAATAGTCAATATATTTGAAGCTCCTAGGAGAGTGCTCACCAGTCGCGTGTCCTGTGTCAGCATCTACTTTGATCCTGGTGAGTGCCTCTTGCAGAATAGCTACTGTTCACTGAGTGCTTTTGATGAGCTGGGCTCTGTGCTAAGCACTTCACATATATTATCTCATTTAATCTTTATAACAACCCCATAAAGAAGGAAACTGAGGCATGGAGAGATTCAGTAACTTGTAGAAGGTCATGCAATGAATAAGTTGGATGTCAGAGTCCAACTTCTTAATTTATTAGGTTATAGTTTTGCCTTCCCTTCCTCCCCTATAACTTCCCATGGCCTTACAGTTAACTTCCTCCAATTATAACTTTAAATCAGAGAAGGAACATTTGTAGATGACCTGCAAAAGATATCTACAGTGCCAAATTCTTGGTGTCTTGTGATTCGAACTAGAGAGACTGCAAGACACCTCAATTCATCACTCTCTGCCCCTTCTGTCCCTTTCCCTCTCTAACTGACAGTTCCCATTTGAGCAGCAAAATCAAGGACTTGGCAATACTATTCATGTCCAAGAACCAAGTCAGTGGTTTTGATTTCATTTTTATCAGGGTCTATTCTGAAAAGCCTGGGATACCTTGTGCTCCAGAAATTAACTTCTGGTAGCCACAGTGAAAAGCACTGGAATGACAGAGTGAAGCCCATCAGAGGAAGTGCAGAGATTACTGAGATCCCACATTTTGTGAGAGTGGTGTCATTTTCATTTTTTACTCCATAAGGTTTTAATGATTCTGAAAGCAATGTGTTTAATATAGAAAAACTTGAAAGCATAAAAAATATAATAAGAAAATGTACATCAGTCATAGTTCTACTGTTATGCTGAGACAACCACTGTGACACAGGTTTACCTCCAGATCTTTCCAACCGTTCTGATTTCTTTCCCTTGCTTTTCTGCACAGCTAGAACCTTCAGTACAATGTTGAATAGATGTTGTGATTTCAGGCATTCTTATCTCATTCCCATCTCAAAAGGAATTCATTCAGCAGTTCACACATAGAATATTTGCTATAGTTGTTTTGGGCAGATAACTTTTTTCGATTAATAGACTATTCTTATTTTGCAAAGAGTGTTCTTGTCATAAAATAATGTTGAATTTTGTCAAATGCTTTTTTTGTGTGTATCTATTGAAATGCTCATATATTTTTTTCCCAATTTGTTACTGTGGTGTGTTATTTTAATTTTCTTATGACAAATCAATTTTATACTCTTGAATTAAATCTAACCTGCTGGATTCCATTGGCTAATTATTTGTTTAACTAGTTTGCATATGTGTTCATGAATGATATTAG